TTCGAGACGTGTGCAAGATGCGGGTGGCCCGAGCAGAAAAGTCTCCACGGGGAGAGCGACAGAGGAGGGGGGAGTGAGAGCCAGGTGAATGCATGGCTGTCCCAAGCGTATTGTGTTGCCCCTTGGCTTAGTGATGTTACCAATCTGCGGTGCCGCACATGTTCAGTCGGCCCCCCGAGAATCTCTAGAGTCGTAGTACGTATTCAGACGGATTGAGGCAAACGTTCGGCGACAGATCGTGTTGCACGTAGCTGATTAGCGCGATGTTTCAAGGCACACAATTAATTAGCTAGTACTAATAGCAATAGTCATAATTAGTAACAACACTCGTGGTAGAATTCATAGTAACAACATTAAGTCTGGGGGTGCTTCACCAGTTCTGGCTCCATAATTGGTGCCATCGGCCAATGTTGCCGAAGATGTCGATCTGGGCAGCGCGCATCTTTGCAATCTTTTCAGTGGCGACAGGCCGGGATGAAGTTGACCAGTTCATTGTTCCTAAAAGCCCAGCCGGTGTAACCAGGCTTGTCACTGTTCGACTGAACCGGTTTCAGTGCGATCTCGGTTCGTTTCGGTGGTTCGGACGGTTCGCATGCAGCGTCGATTTGAATTTCAGCTTCTCGCTTCGATTCCGGGACTTTCCTCTAGATCTACAGAAGGAGTCATAGACCTGGGAGGCAACAGCTGGACGCAACTCTCGCCTCAGCTTTGGCCACCGGGTCTGGGCAGACCAACCACAGAGTGGGACCAGGCGGGAAGAAGATTTCGAAGACACGCTTCGGCTTTCGGCCGGGCCTTTGAGTCTAGAGATTTGTAACTGAGGCGGTTGGTTGCGAGTGCAAAGATGACCTCGGGGCTGGCTGACCGGTTTAGGGCATGGCATTGTCCAGCTTTAAAGTTAGGGTCATGCTATTCGTTTTCGCTTCTCACTGGATTCTGTCCTTTTTGGCCAATGTGAGCGGGGCTGATGCACAAAAGTGGCTCGAAAGCACTGGCGTGAGCCTTCTGCAAGATCTTGTTTTGAAGCCCGCGCTTCTTGCAAGCGGGTATGCTACGTTGTCAACTCTCGTTTTGTTTTGCAATCCGCGTGTCAAAAAGCAGTGGATACATCCCGACGAAATCGACGAAGTGGAGGCTAACTTTGTGGATGCAAACGGTGAAGACGACCAAAATACCCATGACCGCCTCCCACATGAAATCAGATCTGAGGAGTCCGACTCCATGTAGGTCGAAGTTCTTTGAGTGATTCGGTTGCGCATAAGTGCACCTCGCAGAAAAGTTTGCTGCAGAGGCACCACCGTTTTCACAAGGCCGCCATGAAAACCACAGGCCCCTTTTCAGACTTTTCCTTCAGACTCGCCCTTGGTGACGAAAGGACAGATGCAGGAATTTTGCCAACGTGTTGCCTCCAGCATCCGAACAATCAGTAGCACGCTTTTGCATACTTGTGAGGTTTTGTATTTCTTCGGTGCGATGAGGAGACTGTTGCATCAAACCCACGCGGGATAGATTCGGGTATAAGGCTTCGTGCGTTCGACCCTTCTGCCGTTTGCAACGCACTTTTCGTTGGCTTTTCTGCCCGCCTGCTAGTTAACGACTCGACGACTTGCTTGACAACAGATTGATTGTGGAAGCACCACACACTTCAGCCGACGAGAGCCGTTGTATTCGACTGACCAGCTGAGCCTGCCTGCTTGCATGGTGGTGCACAAAGCTGTCTCAACTCCCGGGCTTGTTGCGCAGGCGGAGTTTGCTCGAG